TTAATTGAAGCAAGCTGATTCTCAATGATTTTTAACCAACTTTTCAGCTACTTCCCTAGTCTACAAACTGGAGAAATTATAACTTACTGAGCAGTTACATTCCCTAAGTCCAAAGAGTATAGCACAGAATTCCTAGGGATTCCTATGGATTGCGCTCAGCAGAGGGTTAGTGTGGTGGTCAGACAATCACCCATATCCCTAACCAGAAGACAACAGCCTCATCAAGACCTCACCAAGGGCCAGGGATTTAGTGCACCGTGCCTGCCTTGCAAGCATAAGGTTCTGGGTTCGATCCCCAGTACAAAAAAAATAAAAATAAAAACCTGGGGATTTAGTTCAGTGTGCTTCTCAAGTGCAAGGACCCAGGTTCGATCCCCGGTACCACAAAAAAAAAAAAAAAAAAAAAAAGGACCCCACCAGAATCACAGCACAGGACGAGTGCGAGCACCCAAAGCGTGATGTTGCTCAGCTAGCAGGTGGGGTGCTGGCTAGCCAGCCTGTCGACCGACCTGATTACACCACATTGGACATGATCAACACTGGGTCCAATAAATATATGTAAGAAGTGGCTCAGCTGTTTTTCACAAGTTCCTGTAAATTAGATTTGCTCTCTTTACAAAAACATTTGAGACAATATACAGCATCACTTGCTCCCTAGATGAGTGACCAACCCTTGTCCATTAAGTAAAGCCTGGTGGGCAATAAAAGGCTCAGAAACCCTTGCTCTAAGTTTTTGAGGCCCAGAGAAGGGTCACGTCCCAAACCATGAGTCCACTCCCTAGGGGTTAGGGAAAGCTCCGCAGAGGTGAACTCTGGAAGCTGAACCCTTCTCCACATTTGCCTGTTACTGCTGCTGATGGCTTGGAAAAGTCATTTTGCTGATTGCTTTCAAGACTGCCAAGCCTCTAGGACAGCAGAGTCATTTGGTAGAGGAGTGAAGAGAAAGTGTAGCTCATAGACTAAGAAATCCCCAAACTATCAGCCCCAGGTTACAATCCTCCTTCTGCAAAAGGAAGAAGTCTATGGCTGTGAAAAAGCACATCTAGAACAAGGTGTATCACAAAAATCATCTTAAACACAGGCCTTGACTTTATCTCCTACTTTCACTGTTAGAATCAGAGATGACAGCAAACAGGCAATCTCTCTTCAACATAAGATTTATTTTTATGCTTCAACATTTTCTATGTGTGCTTCAGACGTGATCAAAGAGCTCCTAGGAACAGCTTATCAACCACATTTTTAAGGGGAAGAGAAAGAGCAAGAAAAGATTGGAGACAACCACTGGAGTTTGTTTATCTATTTTCTGGTGAAGCTAGTTTAAATAATTTAAATCTAAATAGGCGATAGTGTATGTCTAGGAAGAGAAAATAGCCCAACCAAATAAATCCCTTGCTTTTTATTTCCTAACATTAAGGCTACAAAGACTGAGTTCCATGACTACTTTAGCTAAAATTGCAACAGGACCAAGAAGAGGGTTCTTTATTTGGTGGTATGATCTATTCTAAAGGAGGACAATGTTTCTGACATACCTGGCCTTCTGACCAAAGGAGCTGCTGCTTGTCTTCTTTCTTGCTTTAAAGAATACAGGGGCTGGGGCCGGGGATTTAGCTCAGTGATGGGGCTGTCTGCCTTTTAGGTGCAAGGTCCTAAGTTTGATCCCAGGTACCAAAAAAAAAAATATATATATATATATCTATCTATCTATAGATAGATAGATAGATAGATATATACACACACACATATATCTATATACACATATATATATGTATATAGATATATACATATATATCTATATACATATATATATATATATATACACACACACACACACACACACAGGGGCTGAAGGTGTAGCTCACTGGTATAGCGTTTAGCATGTGCAAGGCCTGGGTTCAATCTCCAATATCATACCCAACCCCTCAAAAAACAATACAGGCACTTGCCTGGAACAAGTGCCTCCCAGGTTTTCCAAAGTCCCTGCTTTTTTTTTCTATGACGAGACTTTACATGATGTCAACAGTATGACTGGCTGAGAATCTCAGAGAACAATGAAGTGGCTCAGGGGCATCTAAATCCATAAGGAATAGAGACAGGATGAGTAATTAATATATTAGAACAAGGTCTCAATGTATGCAACCACTGCTCTAGGACAAAATTACCATAGAACAGCTTACATTCCAAAATGGTCACTGATTACTGCTATCACAAAATCAGTGAACATGCACCGACTATCCACATGGTCAGGAGTATGCTCAGTATGTAAGGAAGAGAAGAAATCAGCACACACATCACAAGAAAAAGATCTCAGCAATGATGCATTTACAGGGCTGGGGATTTAGCTCAGCGGTGCCACCGTCTGCCTTGCAAGCACAAGGTCCTGAGTTCCATCACCGATAACAAAAAAAAAAAAAAAAATGCATTTACATTTAGTAAACAGCACAAAGAAACCACAAAGGCAATCTGTTACTCTGCTGAACACAATGCCCCCACAGCCTCAGAGAGAGTAGGCACTCCAGCCACTCCCCAAAGGCCTGAGAATGCCAGTCAGTCACTTGGCCTCCTCCTACCAGCTCATAATCAACAATCCGGAAAAGTTCTCAGGTAAAGGATGGTCTACCTGCTAAAATAAAGCTTGTGAGAGGAAAAGGGATGGGAACAAGAAACCTCAGGAGGGCCTAGAGAAAGTGGTTCCTGATAGAAGAGAACTAGTTGGCAAAAGGAACTATGTTACACAGACCAAGCTCCTTGGTTTCCAAAGACACCTGTCCCATGCAGAACCAGCTGCCAGACCCACTGAGAAAACAAATCAGCCATCCCTCCCTCTTGCTCCCAACTCACTCCAGAAGCAAACAATCCATAAGTAATAAAAGAGTCAACCACTGCAGAAAAAAGCTCCACTCAGACTCCTCGAGTTAACTATCCAGGTGACAGGAAGCAGATAACAAGACAGAAAAATATAATATATGAAAGAAGATAAGACTTTTCAAAAAAAGGAAGTTAACATGATACAACAGATCTACCTTAACAGGCTACAAGAAAAAAAAAAAAGAGAACAAGAAGGAAACATAAAGGACGTAAGAAAGAAAAGGACAAAAAAAGTATTGAGCCATAAAGTCGAGGAGCTTCCTTTTTCAAAGTTTTAGTTTTTTTGTTTTATTTTTGGTTTAATAAAGTTCACCAAGAAAGGTCTGACAGGCAGGGTATTCTCCACAGAGCAGGCAGACAGCAAGGGACCCTGGAGATGGTTAAAGAAAGGAGAGGGGTGGAAAGTGGATGCCTCACAGCTCATAGATGAGATGACAAACCACAGCAGTGATTGTGAGGATAGAGGGAGTATATAGGGTCAGGAGGATGATCTACAACATAAAAAACTAGCATGGCAACGGTGCAGAGTTCCTAGGAATTAAAAGACTAGCCAGTAGGAAAGGAATGGGTAACAGCATAAGAGATTGGGGAAATAAGTAAAAGGGCAGAGACTCCCCTATGGACATGAAAAGCAACGTTGGTTTAGAAGCACAGTAAGGAATGATAGGGTGAGGTTTAGCAACCGGAAACAATAAGCAAGGAGGAAGATACTAAGAAGCGACAAGCGAGGGGGCAGAGCGGCAGAAAGCATGCTGGTTTTGTAGCAGGGTAAGAAGGCAGAAAGGCAGGAATGGCCAGGCTGAGGAAAGAGCAACAGGTTATGTCACTACTGCGTGGCTGAAACACTGAATGCCCCCGACCCCTCAGTACCCTCAACTAGGGAGAAAGAGCCCAGGGAGGGGGCTGGAAGAACACTCAAAGCAGGATCAGAAGACAAAGTCTTAAAAAACCAGATCCCTGGGAGACGAGAACAAGGTCTGAAAGGAGTGGTAACCGGAGCCCCAAAGGCAACCTGTGGGAAAACTATGCGCATGACAGCTATATGGGGAACTCGAAGCGACACATGCCAGGGCCAGGAGCCAGGGCAAAAAGAAGGGAAAGTGATGAGCAGAGAGTAGGCGAACGATTTGGAAAGGTGATGAGGGTGGAGCTGGTGGGCTGCAGGCAAGAGGGAGGGCAGAGTTTGGAAAGGGAAGAAGGAGGGTAGAAAAAGCTGAGGAAGTGAAAAGGAATAGAGGCGGAGAACACACTCCGAGGGAAGGACCCTGAGGGTGAAAATCTGGGACTGGAAGAACCGGTGTGGGTGCAGGGGCACGCGGCTGAAGAGGCAGGAAAAGGTGGACAACAGTCCATGGCAAATCACCAGGCGTTATTTCGAGGAGCAAAAGGGTGGCTGTTTAAGCGTGGGTGGAAGAAGACCAGAAAGCCCCCCCCCTCCATCAAAAAGAGGAAGAACAGGGGAAGCTGAGGTGTCATGGAAGCGCGCAGGAGGGCGGTTGAGGGGAAAGGGGGCTGGCAGAAGGACAAGTGCAGCTCGGAGTCAGGAAGAGCGAGTCCGGAGACGGGTGACAAGGCGGCCGAGGCTTGCGGGACAGCCGCGGAGGGAGGAGGCTCCGCAGGGTGCAGGGCCCGGCCAAAGAACCACGGGAGCCTCGGGCTCCTTACCTGCTCCGTGTCCCTCTCGTTCAGCGTGGGCAGGGGGGTCCGGGCGCTGGACATGGCGCCGGTATCTCGGGGGAGGGGACCCAGAAGCTCGAGGAAGGGAGGGAAGGACGGCGCGGAGCCCAGCCGGGCGGGGCT